TAGTATGCGAAATACATAGTGCATATAAATACTAACAGTAACTTGTTAATAGGTTGAGTAAATGCATTGTAATCAAACCAAAGTTTTTATTTATCTTTTTATAAAAATGGATTTGAAGTATCTGCCTTAGTTTGCCAAAAGCAATGAAAAAATATCTCTAATTTTGCTTATTAGGGAAAGTCAGTGCTTGGGACCACATACATCTCTCCATTTGTATTATAAGTTTACATTAAAAGAACTTTCTCCCTGACTGATGAAAACTGACTATCACTTCAAAAAAAAAAAGGCAGTTTGTAGGTTTGTATAAAATATGCCTAACCTTTTAAATATGTACCCAGAGATTTTATGGGTCATGTTATTTGTGACAGAAGTTTATCATACCATAGAAGTTAAGCCCGACTCATGCCTTAATGAAAAGAGATTTGATCCAGAATTGATATGTCCATGGAAAAGTTCAGTATACTTAAAATAACTCTTGAGCATTTGGTTTGAATAATAGAAAATATTTGTTTTATTGGCCTCTAGCTATATAAATGTAGTCAATGTTATTTGCCCTTTAAAATTCTTAACAGGAAAACCATTCATCCAATTTATACTGAAGCATTGTACAATAGGCTTAGTATATAATCATCTGCTAGTGCCACAATAAACAACTACTATGTATTCATCAGAAGTTATTATTAATCATCAGCTTCTTATAATGGCTATGATTATGTCTTTCTAACAGCTTCACTCTGTCAATGAAGTTATTGTGGACTGAGCTAAGAATTTCATTAAGTGCCTATTTCTTTTGAAGAACACTTTGTGAAGAACATGCAGACATATGCATGTAGACAAGATATAATTGCTTTAGTATTTCTTTGCCATAATTTTATTTGAGAACTGACTTTAGATATCATCTTTAAAATTAACTACATTTTTGGGAAAGCTTGAGATTTATTTCCTTTTAAAATGTATCAAAATATCACATAAAGTAGAAAAGGCTTATCAGAACACTAATTCTGTTTTAATTTGAGTCTGCTTTTATTCTTTTTAGTTGTATGCAAGCAGCCAAATTGAAGGGAAGGTCCTCAATACCCACCAATGCATTTTTACCAGTGAATTAATGGGGCCGGTGAAGATAAAATTTTAAAAGGAAAAAACAAAACAAAAAACAAGTCTTGTGTGTATCAACAGGGTAAATTAGGATGAGAACAAATAATTTCATTCCATTAATTTCAGTCATACCTTTCGGTAAATGTGGAAATGCCACTTCCCAAATCACTTCATAGATATACTAAAGACCAATTCTGTATTCAACATCCTGAAAGGTACTGTTTGAAAAGATGGGAAAAAAATATGATGTAAGCTGTTCTTCAAAAAACAGTTCTCAACTATAAGTGACTAAATAACAGAAAGGTGTGTTTGCATTCAATTTCTACATTTAGAAATAAATACAATGGTATGAGAGTTGGAAAAAAGAGATCAGTGGGTCTGGAATCACCAGGAATGGTGGGTGTATGGGGTAGATGGGCACAGATTAACTAAAAGCCTTTGGATGGATATTTAAAAAGGAAAAAAAAAGGACTGGCCAGAAGTAAAGATGCAGAAGTTGGAATCCTTCTGTGGTAAAGGGTTGTGAGGGACAATAAGGTGATTGAAATCTGCAAGCTGAGTTCAGTAGTTGCCTGCTTATACTAGGAAGTTGTGAGAAATGTGACACAAATGGGAGAGAGCCCACCCTACTAAAAGGGGCTGGGGAGTGGGGAGGGGGAGTAAATTAAAAGTCAAACTTGCTATTCATTTATTCACAGCCTAATTAGAAAAATAAATTAAAGTTTAAAACAATTAGAATGAGAGACACTAGTAAGAAAATACCTAAATTCTCTTTCACTTCTAACAATACATTATTTGAGTCATTTTCCTACTCTTCCAATGATGTCTTTATCATTGTTTCTGACTTTTTCTTCACTAATAACCTGTACATTGTTTTTTCAAAACTTGATTCTTGATCTTTCATTTTAGTTACACTGTCTTCCTAAGATAATCAATCATTATCATTCCTTAAATGTTCATTTCTATTCTTTTTTATGATCTCTAATTTTCTTTAATGAACCTCTAATTCTGTATCTTCACTCAGGCTCTAGCCTAAATGCCTATTCAGTGAATGTCTTAATTGGATAGAATGCTTCCATTTTTGATAGGCTACCTTTTCCTCTAACATGCTAGGTACAAAACTGAAGATGATTATATTTCCCCAACCCAATTCAACAGCCCAAGTTCTTTATTTTTGTCAAATCCTGTGGTATTTTATTTTCTGTTTGTGTTTACTGAATCATATTTTCCTATGCATTGTATCACCAATGAATTTATTATACCCATGCTGGCCTAGGCCTGCCCAACACTACTACGTCCACAACCTTGCGTACTCACATCATGTATAATAAGGGAAATATGACCATTTATTAAAATATTCTCAAGAAATTTCTTATCAAAAAAAGAAAATATGAAAACATAAAAGCAATACTGTCTAAAGTTAATTTTCCTATGTCAATGGCTAGTTTGAGCACAAATTGCAAGGAAATGAATAACTTTGACACGTCAAAGCCCATAATAAACAAAGTTACATTCATATAGACTGCCAATTAGAGACATTCCTAAATTTCAACTAAATTGAATGAAACTAATTTTTTCACACCTTGGAAAACATTTTGCACCCTTTCAGATTCTGTTATCAACACATTTCACATATAATTCTCAAAGTTTGATAAATAATGGATCAATCATAGATAATTTACACCACAGAATATTTCAAAATATTAAAACATTATACAAATCAAAGTCTCAATACTTAATGTGTTTACAGAAAATAAAATTTCTAATTGTACTGCACTGTTTTGAGGATATTCTTAACACACTAAGCAACATGCTGTCAAAGAAATAGGTGTGACTGTCACCCATTTGGCTTAAATCACTTTTATTCCATATTGATAATAAATATAATTGATAATAGATATCAATTTGTAAACAATAATTATTGTTTTTTTGTCTTATTTTACATAACATTAATTGTTTCTCATATTATGTTTAAAATTCTCAATGTTTTCAAATCAAAATGGGGCTCCTGCTTAAAGAAAATTATGTGTTATAGCTTTTATAAAAGAAGAATAATTTTTTTAAAGATTTTTATTGGGGAATTGGGGGCATGGGAACAGTGCTGGGGAATTGGGGGAAGGGGAACAGACAAGTTGCTGTTGTTTTTGTTCTTCAGTCTAGTTGTGGAGGACGTTGCTTCACTGGCCCAAGTTGGCACCATCATTGCGCTCTTCCCGGGTGAGGCTGATCAGTCGCTGGCTTCTGGACGGCCGCTCACTGCGGCTGCTAGCTGCTCACGCTGGCTGCTGGCTACACACGGTAGCCCATGGCAACCCACTGCCACAGGGGCTGCAGCCTCCGCTGTCGCCGGGGACTTACAGCTGCCCAGCTCCAGGTTGAGCTGTTGTTCAGCATCTTAGCTGTAGAAGGCAGTGTCACTGGCCCTCATATGTGGGATCTAAATCGGGGCCCTCTGGCGTCCCAAGCCAGTTCTTAACCATCGCGCCACTCGGCCGGCCCAAGAATAAATTTTTTAAAAAATCAATCATGTTTGCAAAAGGAAACAAAAAAAAAACTGATAAATTTTCTTCTTTCCTATTGTATTATTTTGGGGGGAGGGGGCTCTACAAATGGCACTTTTATGGAAAGAACTTTATTGTTTGTGACTATAAACACTTTGAAGATTATTAAAAATTATTAATCTATTCTGAAAGTGAAAGTAAAAATTCACCTTGAATTAGCTATAAATCACCTTGAATTAGCTATATATATATATATATATATATATATATATATATATATATAAATTGCACTATGGAAACTCAAAATGGTACAAATCTTTGAAAGTTCTCAACTCTGCATATTATCCATTTTTCTCACAGGGTCAAAAGTGTAGTCATAAGATTCCTTTATTTTCCCCAAGAGAGAAAGTTAAAGAGGAAGGTGAACATTGAAAAGTATTATTAATTTGAAAGGTTGGCCCAAGAACAGAGAAAAGATTAGATAATAAAGAACTGAACTAAAACCACAACCAAACAATTCTTCAATGCTATTATACATGATTCTTTTATAGTAATTTAAATCTCCCTCCTGTTTTCATACATCTGCAAAACACATATGTACCCACTCAAGTACTCATTTTCTTTTACCTTGGATATGTTCTCTGCTAGGAAAATTAACTATACTTAATTAAAAAATTAAATTCCATTATTTATCATTTAAAGCTTAAAAGCATATCAAGTTTTTGTTTGGGCAAATGTATACCACTTTACAAAGTAATACACTCTATGAGATAAAGGAATTCTCGTTATTAACCAAACCAACAAACAATGATAAGTGAATTTCAGCTCCAAAGAAATCTGCAAACCCCTCACCAGATGTGCACTGTGAACAAACTATATTATATTTTCATCAGAGGACTGGGGAATCCTTAGCGATGAATAGAAACTTGGCAATTTATGCTGCTTATTAGGAAACAACGGCCAATGCCCCAGCTGGAAGAGTAGCCAATTGACCTTAATACAATGTGTGAATAAAGCATCTTCCAAACAAAACAAACCATACACATCCTTTTACCTAGAGGCATAACTCCCCAATTAATGAAACAAATCTCTAAGCGTTAGACTAGGATTTAGGAAATAGTTTTACTATAAAATTATTAAAAATTAAAATAAAAAAGATGACATAGAAACTCAAGGATATAAGAAAGTGATTAGAGAATATAGTATTTCTATTAATGGATTTTTATTTCAACGTTTTATAAATGTATAAATAGTTAAGTACTGGGAAATTATTTAGATTGCATAACAGGAGACCCTGAAAGAGTATTCACTATTTATTTCCAAATACAAAAAAGAGTAGATTAATACTTTACACATGAATAAAGTTAGATTAATTTTTAGATAATTTTTGACATATCCCAAAGCTTCACTCCAGTACTGCCTGCCCTTGGTGAACATGGTTTGTTTGGGGGTTTTTTTTGCACATAATTAACAGCCTTCAAAGTAAAAGATGAAGAAAAATACAAAGAAATCCCTTGTGAAAACACATTGATTTATTAATCTCTATGACCCCTTCGATCCTTACCCTTGCACAAGCATTACTATAGTCAGTCGTATGTACTACTTTGTATTCTACTTTTTTTCATTCCCCAATTATAGGCTTCTTCTTGTACTATGTCCTTATACATATTTACCATTCTAAAAGTAATATACTATTCCAAAAATATACCAATAGCTAATAACAGCCCAGGAAGTTATTCTTAATTTTTTTTTCTCTTGCCATGACACATAAATCTATCACTTAAGTTTTTGTATTTTCCTTCCTACATAGCTCTCTCAGATTTGCCTTGTTCTGTTCTTCACAACCTTCATTGTTCCTCAGTCAGGTTCACTTATCAACTCTCACTAAGAGCATTGTAAGAGTTCCTTATCTGCTTTTCTTTTGTCCCCAGTTTCAGGCAACCCCTCAAATCCATCTTGTTCAGATACTAGAGGGACTGCATATTTCATAACATCTAAAATGCCATAGATTATAAATAACAGTGTTATTCTTAAGAACCAAGATAGTAAAACAATGCTGCCACTTAAAAAATAAAATATATTCTAATCTCCAAGAATGTTTTTTACACTTATTGAATTATTTTAAACTTAGATGTATATTTTTATCATACTTCACTCTGTGCATGAAAATATATGCAAAAACAATTTGCTGTGGAATTCCTAAATCAGCTTCACATTTACAGTCCAACTCTTCTGAGTCTCATTTCAGCTCACAGTTTTGAATCGGCAACTTCCAGACAGTGTTGTCCCCTGTGACATTAAAAGCATTTTCAGTCAAACATTTAAATCTTAAATACTTAATTCAATTTTTTATATGTCAGTTTTAAAATATATGAGGAGGTCCATAGTTTTTCAAAATTCTTTTAGGGGATAACTAAGCAAATGTCAAAACACAAAAACAAACAAACACAAATCACTACTCTAAATCCAGAGATTAAACCTGGGAATTAGATTATTTAAGTGAGATAATCTTGCCAGTCCCATTTTCTAGACTAGATTTCACTCCATTTGCCCAGGCCACTGTTGGGACTCTCATTACATGTAAATATAAATCTCTGGTTTTTGTAAGATAGTTGGGGTAATATAATAGCTTTTATTTACACAAAGCATAACTAGCTCCAAAAACCAGTATACAAATAAACTTGTATAATATAATCCTTAGATAAGTATGAAAAGTTATTTTGTGTATTTATAGGCTTACAAAAAGTATAAACAGGATAATCTTGTTTTGTAAAATATCTTATATCTGTTTTAAGAACATAAATACAATGTATCCAATCAATTATTAATGAAATTATACTATAAGTCAACATGTACGCTACTTTGGTTAAAATAAAATATTTTTAAAAATATTTATATTCCCCATATTCTGTTAAGAGTAGTATCATATTCAATCAAATATTAAAATTAAGCTTTATCATGCATGACAATCAATTTTTTTCCTTCTGTCCCTCCTTTGTTAATTTCATTGGTAAACTAAAATAGTTAAGAGTGTCTATTTCAATCTGTATCTTTTATTGTCAAATATACGCTTTATAAGTTAAACAAATAGTGAGACTTGCCTGGTGAATTAATGAGTTATTAGTTAAATTTACCATCTATAATTAAACAAAAATAACATTCACACCAATAATAATGAAACTAGCCTATAAAACTATGTTACCAAGTTTTTAACAAGAGTATTCAGTTTTAAAATCTTGGCTTTAATATAAATAGCATATATCTAATAACCTTTGAAGAAAATATTGGTTTTAACAGATGATGTAATGAAAATAACTAAAAATGTCTGCAAATGTCATTAGTTAGAAATTCTCAAGAGATCATTTTCTCAAAGATTCAGAAATTTGTTATTGAATTCAAATATGAAAAATTGTTTTTTTCATTATAAATGTCTTGCCAGTTTTTTGTTCATTTTGTTTTGTTTTCCCTAGCCTAGCCCAGAAAAAGGATTAGAATTATTTAAATAATTTGAGTAGGTGAGTTCAGCATTTAATACCAGGTGAAGATTTAGTTGACAAATAAATATACAAAATAAGGTGAATGGAAGAGAATCTGGAATCATAAAGTTGAATAAGAATATTTATGATACAATTAGTGTTGGGAATAATAAGGAGCTACAAACTAGAATCTAGCTAGCAAAATTTATATTGTGTATATAAATTATATATAATAGATAACATGTATAAACATTGATAACTAAAGATATAAGTAAATTCAAGTGAATATATTTGGTAAAATTAGGTTAATTGGGTGTTGCAAGTTGTAAAACTAGAGAAGTTGGATGTAGTTTTACTTAGGGAAAGGATTACTTCAATTCTCTATGTATTAAACTTTTTACGTTTTGAATGGTGTAACATTTATGATTTTAATTCACAGATGTTTACATACTAAATGCTAGAAATTCAAATTAATAATACGCCCAGGTAAAATTTCTAGCAGATTAGACAATGGTTCTAGAAGTATACATTTGAACATGGGGAATGTGAAAATAGAGAGAAAGCTAGACTAGTCAAGTGATAAACAAAGATGAAAGTGTTGATAAAATATTGAAATGCAGAAGACAAAGAGTAAGAATAGAAATAAAGACCATTGCTTTTGGCAAAGTAGGGGCTCCACAGCATAACAATAGTGTAACCACTCTGAGCCTAAATAAATAAATAAAATAAGGATAATAAAAAATTGTTTTGAAATTCAAACTACATAATCAACTAAAGTGTTAAGCATGGTGTCCAGGGAACCAACTCTCAACAATTATTAGGTTATTTTTACAGAGGTTAATTTCAGGAAAGCCTCTAGGAGGAAGTCCAGTCAGATTTCACCATCTATTAGATTATTTTAAATGTCTTTCTTTCCTTCTTTTTTTTTTTTTAAGAGATCAGTAGTCTCTTGGGGTTTGTGAAGGGGAAGAGGTTTGAATACAGTTTTGTTTTTTGTTTTTTAAGTAAAGTTTATTGGGGTGAGAATTGATACTAAAGCTACATAGGATTCAGGTTTACAATTCTGTAATACATCACCTATATATCATTATGATACCTGTACAGGCTTAAAAGTCTTTGATAGTGTCATAAGACTGGTTTAATACGTAGAATAGAATAGATTGGTATATTTTACAGAATTAAACAATTAGTGACACATAATATTAAACCAGATAGCTGGTATGGTTTTACCATCACAGTAATAATAAAAAATTTTGGAGAAACAAACTCAAAATCAAATCAAAACTTCATCTTGAAATATCTCTGTAGAATACTGTTAGTATTAATATCTTAGCTCTGTAGCCAAACTATCTGGCTTTGATACTTTGGGTTTCCCCTTCTGATTAAGGGTATTAATGGTCAAACTATGAGTAATAAATGTTCACACATATTCCTTCCAATTCAGAGCTTCTAAAAACAAAAAATAGTTTGCAATTCCTCCCCCACAATTCCACCCACAGTGACTCAATAGCCTAATATGCTCGTTGTTTCTCCCACCATTAGAACATAATTCTCTCTAATTACGGAAATTCTGTATTCTCCCCCATATCTTCTCTATCAAAATTTATTTTCAAAATACTTAAAAGGAAACCCAACTGAGCTAAATTAATGACTTAAACTGTTATGTTGTATTAAAGTTTGAGAGTTGTACTGAAGCTTCTCCATTTCTTATCACTTGATAAAAGTACACATCAATCATTCCCATTTAAAAAGGAGAAAGAAACTATCACCCTATATTTAAGCAAGTTTAAATTATAAGTTATTTGACATATGCCAGCAGGTTAAAATTTAAGGATGGTATGTCAGACTTCTTCACTTCTGTGTTTTGCCATTTATAACTGATAAAGATGACATATTACATGATATGTCCTTTCTTAATACAAAGGACAAACTTCACCCAGAATAATCAGAAATTGGAATTTGTGACACAGTTTGATAAAAACTCCATATTTTCACATCACGTTCCTCTTGGTCATTTGCCATAGTCTACTTTGTATTATAATTTTCCTGTTTGTCTATCTCTTGATATTAAATACTTAAATAGGTTTAATTATTTCATCTGTGTTTATATCTGCAACCTACCACAATATCTTCACATAGTCAATATTTGGTAAATATTTGTTGAATGAAGCAGGATATAGTATGTTCATACTCATGCAGGTCGACAGTTTATAAACTGTGTGTTTCTTGAAGGCAGGGATTACAGATTTTATTTCTGTAGTCCTGGAATCTTAGAGACTGCAACAAAAAGTTTATTATTTGGAAGTGCTGAAAAGGCTGTGTGAAAAGTTGGGTGACCTGAGCTTTTCACCAACAATTCATGGATCTTGATTCACAACAATGCACCTGCTCATACGGCACTGTCTGTGAGGGAGTTTTTAGCCAGAAAACAAATAACTGTATTGGAACAACCCCTCTACTGACCTGATCTGGCCCCCAACGACTTCTGTCTCTACCCGAAGATAAAGGAAATATTGAAAGGAAGACATTTTTATGACATTCAGCACATCAAGGGTAATACAAGGACAGCTCTGATGACCATTCCAGAAAAGAGTTCCAAAATTTCTTTGAAGGGTGGACTAGGTGCTGGTACTGGTGCATATCTTCCCAAGGGGAGTACTTCCAAGGTGACCATAGTGATATTCAGCAATGAGGTGTGTAGCACTTTTTCTAGGATGAGTTCCTGAACTTAATCGACAGACCTCTTGTGTGTGTGTGTGTGTGTGTGTGTGTGTGTGTGTGTTTCAGAGTAAATGATTAATTTGAAGGGAATAAAACACATAGTCTTTTGAAAATATTCATGAAAGTTAAAGTTCAATAGGTAGATTGGATAAGATTTGAAGAAGTTTTTATTTTTATTTTATTTATTTATTGTTTTAGCTGAGTCATACTGCCACCTGTTGGCAGCTCAGAGGCAGCTCAGCTTTGGCCAGGCATCGAACCGCTGTTGCTCAGAGCTTGCACTCTTCAGCGAGCTCTTAACCAACTGAGCCACTCAGCCGGCCCTTGAAGAAATTTTTAAATGATACATAAAAGATAGTAAATTTAGAAGTGTAGATCCTGATTAATATTCCAGTTATGCCACTTAATGCACATAATCAGTATAACTTCACCTCCATTAGCCTTACTTTTCTCCATTAAAGTGAGGAAGAGAATAACATATTTGGCCATCTATTTAGGATATATATTTCCAGAAGTTCTTTCTTTCTTTTTCTTTTTCTTTTTTTAGCTGAACCATCCTGCCACCAGTTGGCAGCTCAGTGGCAGCTCAGTTTGAGTTGGGAATTGAACCGGCAACCCTGTTGCTCAGAGCTCACACTCTTGAGTGAGCTCTTAACCAACTGAGCCACTTGGCTGGCCCCAAAAGTTATTTCTAATCAGCTATCATACCTGAGCCTTCAGCAGGTTAATTCTGCTTTTGGGTCATTGGGCATGTGGTAAGACCAGTGAATACTCTTGGCATGAGTATCTTTACCTACTTCCTTTCCTGTCAAGTTTGTCATCTAATCAGATATGATGTATCTGACAGATAAAATAGTAACACATTAGGGATTATCTAAATCTATGAAGGTTGTTAATACCAGTGCTTCAGCCTATTATTAAGTACAAAGAACCACTCAACCATGATGAAGGCATTGAACATAATCAACCTTTTCCAGAGGGACGCCTGGACTCCTAGAATATAATTCGGTATTGGGGTATCTGCTTTGAGCAGATTAGGCACTCAGATCAGCTTTGTTGAGGGAAAGTCAATATTGTCAAGAGCATACAGTC